CAGCTCCCTGGGATACACACTGCCGCTGGGGAGGAAGGACGGCACCTTCAGCTCCCTGGGGTACACACTGCCGCTGGGGAGGAAGGACGGCACCTCTTCAGCCTCCCCTGGGGTACACACTGTCGGGGCTGGGGAGGAAGCGATCTGCACCTTCAGCTCCCCTGGGTACACACCGCCGCTGGGAGTGGGGGCTGAGGCAACCTTCAGCCCCTGTCACACTGCCTGGGGAGGAGCACTGCACTCAGCCCCCCTGGGACACACTGCCGGGGGAGGAAGGGACCGCAACCTCTGTGCCCTGGGACACACACTGCCGCTGGGGAGGAAGGACTGCACCTTCAGCCCCCTGGGATACACACTGCCGCTGGGGAGGAAGGACTGCACCTTCAGCTCCCTGGGATACACACTGCCGCTGGGGAGGAAGGACTGCACCTTCAGCTCCCTGGGATACACACTGCCGCTGGGGAGGAAGGACTGCACCTTCAGCTCCCTGGGATACACACTGCCACTGGGGAGGAAGGACGGCACCTTCAGCTCCCTGGGACACACACTGCTGCTGGGGAGGAAGGATGACACCTTCAGCTCCCTGGGACTCCTTTTTGGCCAAATCTACTAGAGATTGCAGGTATTCTCCTACTAGTTTCCTGGCGAGCTGCACGGCTCTCTCTGGGGGTTGGGTCCAAAGGTAGACAGCACCTCATTAACCTCTCTGTCAAACTCCTCCTGAGTGTAGTCATACGCCATGCTTGCTCTGCTGAAGTTAGTTCTTTTGTAGATAGGGTCGCTGTACGGGTACTAGCGTTGCCCTCAATTTGTAAATCCACGAACTGTGTCTCCGAGCTGCTTTACCTCGCACTAGGGCGCCATCCCACCGCTGCCACCAATGTAACGGATCACCTGGCACCCCGACTGGGTACCTCCGTTGAAAGATGCTCCTAGCGCTTCCAGAGGACTCCAAGCACTCCACCAGACACCATAAGCACCGCAGGCTGCAGCTATCTCCCTTCAGAACGAAGCAGGAACAAGCTCTTACAAGAGCTCAGTGATTATAGCAAGGGAATATGCCTAGCATAGCAATCCCTTGTAGCAGATTCCCCCAATAAGAGACAGGACTCAAGTTGAGGGTAAAAATAGGAACTCCCTGTACTGTCACATACAGTCTCTTTTATTCCCAATCCACAAACATAGTACAGCCCACAGGGCGTTACAAAACAACCAATCACATCACAGTTACATCCCACATATTCCCTCCCCTTATCCTGAGAGGAAACTCAATTATACATACAGTTAAAACATACTTTCTACCCAACTTTCATAACTCCAAAACCATACATCACATTCACATAAAATTACATATTCACAATCAATCCATTCAGGGAACAACATATTCAAAAATGGCACAAATCAGACAAGGGGTTCAAAAGTTAGTAAAAAGTCCTTTGTGACTAAATGAAGCATGGCTTTCTGGCCCAAACCAGTTTCAGAGTCTTCTATCCTGGAGATAAGTAATTCAATTATCTCCCAGGATAGACACAAGACTCCATTAAGCACATGGTTGCAAAAAGACACAAAACACTTTAAAATACATAAAGTCACATTTACACATAACACACAGACATTTCACATATCCCCAGATAGCTGGGATCTGAGTGCACATTATTAGATGAATGGCACTCAGATCACACAAATAAGCCTTTCTGCAGGGGAAATAAACGGTTTAACCTGCAGGGCCATAGTCCAAAGGGAGCAGGCGAGCAACCAGGCTTCTCCAGTTCACAGTGGCGAGGTTGGTTTCGCCACAGTGTGTAGGGAATGTAGTGTGTGTAA